AGGGGCATTTCCTGGCCTAGACATTGCTCTCTCGACCATGAGGAAGGGAGAGCTGGCCAAATTCCTCTTCAAGAAAGAATATGTCTTCAAAGATCTTGGGTGCGAACCTAGAGTTCCTGGTGGCACTGTATTATGGGAAATAGAGCTGCTTGGGTTTGTTGATCATGGCGTGCTTGAAGACATCAATGAAATGCCAAGAGGAGACAAAAGAAAAGCATCTTTTCAGCACCTTCTTACAATAGCCAGCGGTCATAAGGAGGTTGGAAATGATCTTTATAAAAGAAAGCAGGTTTCTCAAGCAATAAGTATATACATGAAAGCAATAAAGCTGTTAGAGGAGTGTTCATTACAGGATGAGAAGGAAGAGAAAGAGATGAATGCAATACTGCTGAAATTGTACAGCAACATGATGGAGATTTGTCCAATATAGACGACTTGTTACGATTCGTAATTTGTATTTTACCAGTGGTATCTATTGGTGAAGTCATTTTCAAGTCGACATTGCGACTTCATTTGACTTTAAACGCTGATGTGAAGTAGAGAAAGAAGAATCTATTGGTGAAGTCATTGTCATGGTGATTTTGGGATTACATTTCACTTTAATCTCTGATTTTAACTCGATAAACAAGAAAGAGATTGAAGTTCTCTCACTTCTATAGGGTGGAAAGATGTAACATCGTTTGCTCTTAAAATGTAACAGTCATTATTGTAAAGATAAGTGCTACTTTCAGATTCCAATTTTAACCGCCGGRGTATTGAAACAGCAAAGAAATATGGGAACAAATTTACCAATCGTTCCATCGGGACCATTCGTGATGTATTGGAGGCCTCTCTTTCTCGTTCAATCTGAAAGGAAACGGTATCCCTGTGCCTCTGTGCATTCATCTGTATGAGGCCTGAATAGTCTTACCATTCGTCCCGATCGAACCATTGGTAATCTTCGTATACCACTCGTATAGAAGGAATTCGATTGGTGAATGCTTACCTTACTCTCGTTGCTATGAAACAGTGAATATTGCGGGCGATGTGTTGGCATTACGCAAGGAATGTTTGAGTGACAAACGGTATCCCTGTGCCTCTGTGCAGTCATCTGAATGAGGCCTGAATAGTCTTACCATTCGTACCGATCGAACCATTGGTAATCTTGTTATACCACTCGTATAGAAGGAATTCGATTGGTAAATCATGACCTTTCTCTCGTTGCTATGAAACAGTCAATATTACG